AATTACGTCTTAATTAGCTACTTCCTGCTATATGCTTCCTGCTTCCTATGCTATATACATATTTTTGACAGACAGTTTTTTTCCTCTAAAAATTATAAATATTTTTTTCTCTCATAAACTGTTAACGTTAGGTATAGAGTGTATAATATCAAAATTGATAAAATTTTACAGAGAATTTAAATATGTAATAAAAAATGGGGTCACCCATTTAAAATAAGAAAGTTGCTGGCAACTTCCGGTACTTCCGAAAGTGCTGCCATATTGAAAATATCTTTAATCGATAGATCTCGTTTTGAAACAATGATATGCATAAAATCTCGGATCTAGATATTGTAGTTCTCTAGAAACTTCTAATGCACGCTCAGCCTGGGACACCCTGTATAAATACTTGAATTTTGTCATACATACGTCAATATCTAAGGTCAATATACGTTTTGTCAAATTCCATTTTTACAAAATGTGCATTAGAAGTATATCATTATCTGAACAGACCGGTGGTTGCCGGGGGCCACATGTAGCTTCGCCGCCCCAGGCAGGGTTCGGAAGTAGTTAATTAGGACGTAATTTACCTGATTAACTACGTGTAGTTTTTCTTCAAAAACTACGTCTTTTCCCGTTCATTAACTACATGAAAACTACGTTAATAAACTATGTATTGATATTATGAATAATTTTCCTTTGTATGAGGTGTAATAGAGATAATATTATGTAAATATTATATTTAAAGCCATATTTCTTCTGTTTTCTTAAATACATTATATGTTTTTAAAGCTTCAACTTATTAAAACCTCACCTCAAACCTTTGATATTTGAAAGTTACATACATAGGTTACATAAACTACACCCTCTACGTAAACTACATTAACTACATGTAATGTAGTTTATGTAGTTTTTAAAAGTAACATGTAGTTTTCCGAACCCTGGCCCAGGCCCCCGACACGCTTAAGGTTGCCGCCCACTAGACCGCGGCGCGACGCGGCGCGGCGCCATGTGGAAATTTCTTTTGTCTGCTTGCCATATATTTAAATGGACCAACGCACATTAGAGCGCGCAGCGCAGAAGCGCGCCGCGGGATTTCCGTCAAGAAGTCGGAAGACTTCTCTAGCAACTTTTTTCCGTCTCCCGCGTTTCGACGCGTTGCAGTGTGCGTACTCACAAGGCAGATAATTTTGCATTCGAGTCTTTTCAGTTGGCTTTTTGACTAGGAACTAGTGATATGTATTAATGGCAGAATTGTATTTTTAAAGGTAAATTAGGCAAATCGATTTTCATAAAGGAATATGATATTTTTTTTAGTCTTCCCTCACTAGAGACAGATGGACGAAATGCTTTTCTATCAAAGATTTAATATAATTGAGGGGTGTAGAGGCAAAACTGGCAATCTCCACTTTTTAACAAAAGTGACAATCTCCAATTTTTAAATTCTAATTACCTAAATATATAAAAAAGATCAGGGTTTTTTTTGACCACATAACTAATATACACATCAGAATAAATAAGAATTATCAAAAATATTAGTAATTTGTCTCTTCTGAAAAAATATGATGAGTAGATATACCCGGTGTTTTTTCTTCTAAAACCCTCAATTGAGGAGTGCGTAAAATGTTTCGTTTATATTTTGTAATACTGAAAAAAATGATTTTGTCTTTTATTAAATCTGGAAAAAGATGGTAAAATTCTCCAAACTTCTTTCTTTTTTTGTTAATCGTATGAGTCCAAACTTTTCCTCACCCCCTCTTCCTCTTCCTCTGTTAGAAGAGCACAAAAAATACGCTTTCGTCCGTACTTGAACTCATTGCTTTAAAAACTAAACTACAGTAAGTAAAAAACACTTCGACTATAACTAAATAGCGTTGCCGCGTTTCAAAAACGCGCTATAGTGGGCGCAGTCCCTTCGCAGCCGGAAAAAAATCTCTTCCCAGCGCCGCGCCGCGCCGCGTTCTAGTGGGCGACAACCTTTAGTCCGCCACTGGATAGCCCGTCGATTGTTCGCGCACAATCGAGTACGAAGATCTGTGGATATATTTACAGGGTGAGTCAACAATATAGTCCATTATCTAATTTGTTTCGAGGTTTACAAAAAAATATTAAAAACAAAAGTTATAAGGACAGTTAAGATACACATGTTAACATTATTATAGAGTATACAGGGTGCTTCAAAAAAGTGTGGCGAATATAACATATGTTTTTTTTAAATGCAACACCCTATTTTTTATTTTATTTTTAGATTCTGCGTAAAATTCCGTAACTTTTTTATATATAATGTTATGTACCCAAAATTAATCGTTTTTGTAATATTTAAATTTGTTTAAACAGTCCTTGTATACCGAACGGCTCTAGTATGGCAAGCTGTACCTTGCTACTCCCAAGGCGTTAAACGCTATATACGGGAGCTATTATTATATAAACAAATGTTAGATTGCAGTGTGGTAAAAAAATGTCAGTGATACCATTGTTTCTGAAGTTGGACAACTAAAATTTGGTAGGAGAATTTTATAGAGATATAGAAAAAGACTTATGTAGAGATACTTTAGTTAGATGCTACAGGGTGTTCAAAATATATTTATGAATTTCAACTTTTTTAAATAGTACACCCTATATATTATCTTTTTTTCTGATAGATTTTACAAACTCTTCAACTTTAATTAAGTATGTCGTACATATTTTTAATAGTTTGGGATTTATTCCAATTTTTTCTATTTTTACCCATATTCTTAATACAATAATTACGCTATATAACATCACAATTGCCATGACAAAAAGTAATAAAAGTTGACATATGTCATTCTATTCAGAGTGCTATTTTCTATCGAATAAAGTAAAAAAATACCGAGGGTGCCATTTAAAAATCAAAAGTTGTAGTCATTTCCGGTGAAACCGGAAGTGACAGAAAACAGTTGAATACGTCAATCAATCCTAATTTATGTCATATACTAACATACCAAATCTCGTTGTTTTCTCTAAAAAAATAAAATAGTTATAGGGATGGGCCACTTTTGAGACGCACCCGGTATAACTAATTATTGTGTACAGTGGTTTTACTCAAGAAATAGATCAAATGGCATGGCAAGAAGGGCTGACAACAGATGGACCATAAAAATTATAGCATGGTACCGTTGGCGTAACTATACAGGGGTGCCCGGGGGTGCCCCCCCCCCCATGTACTGCTGGGCACACCCCAGAGAAATCCTGAATTATCACTCTTGGCTACGTATTAATTTTTATTTGCTTGTGATGCAGTAAAAATGACGCTTTCTAGTTTTGTTTAGTTAATATTATTTTGTTGTGTTCAAAAATTGAGTTAATTTTTATTTTTTTAGAAAATTTGTAGGTATTTATAAATAATCTACGGGAACACGGTTTGATAACCAAGTCTATGAAATTTATGAAATTTATTGATAGAGAAATTCATGTAAACGTTTTTTTCAAAAAATGTGATTTTTAAAATTATTTTTCATTTTTAAAAAAACAAAAGCACTCTAGGCCCTCCCTGAGCTCAACCTCAGGAATAAATGTTATATTTTTGTTATTTTTAGCTCTATTTTCATGATTTTTTTAGCAACCTGTGTATAATTATATCAACTATAATTCGTAAACTTGAGGGCCCCGGGGCACTGCCCCGCTTAGCCCCTAGGTAGCTACGCCACTGATAAACTTCGACGTTTGGGACATGCTTGGCAGGAGGGTTAGAGGTCACAAAGCGGTACCAGCTTCATTAAATATATTTCGGTTGGTTCTGAAAGAAAAATAGGAAAGCGTAACACAATATGATGTATGCATCAGCCTCAATGGCAGTATGAACGGACGTATACAGGCATTCAGTGGCGGATATACAGATGGGGGCCCAAACCAAACCAAAAAGAAATGATAACTGAAAAAATTACAAATTTTTGGTGTCAAGTTCATTTTGCTGTTAAAAATTAACCAATTAAGGCATATATTGACATGATCCAAAAAACAAAATGCTCAGGAGACATATGGTTCTGACTGTAAAATTATATTTTAAGAAAATCTATACACAAAATTATTGCACAGGGTGTTTTAAAGTTAAGGTAAAAAAACAACTCACCGATTAACCCTGTATAATATGCCAAATACTAAAATTTATAAAAAACTTAGTTTACGAATTATAGTTGATATAATTATACACAGTTTGCTAAAAAAATCATGAAAATGGGGCTAAAAATAACAAAAATATAACACTGTAAATTTGACCAAAAATTTCTCCGTTGCGTTTTTTTGCATCTGAGTTACATTGCATTTTGGTTTGAATTGCATTACGAGTCGTTCCCTAATTTCAAACACTAACAACAAAACTATAGGGAAAAATTGTCCAAAAAAATAAAGAACTCCACACGGGCGCTTCTGACTCAGTCAGGGTCGGCTACACTATCATCGAAAATGGTTGAATAAGCTGGAAATAATAATAACGATAATTTTCTTGAATTTTTCCAAGAAATTGTATAATAATAATAAGAATCTGATAAAAATATAAATAGACAATAATTTAAAATAAATGCATCAAATTAAAAATCTAATAATGAACTTGTAGAGCAGGAAATAAAAAGTAGCAGTGATAATGTGAAATTTGTACCTTTATTATTATTTTCTAATAATCAGAGAAAAGTAAAAATAAATCCAGAATTTTTCTATCCAGAAGATAGTTTCCAGAATTTCCACAGCTTCCAGAATTCCAAATTCCAGTTTGTAGAATTAATGAAAATTATTATACCTATACTGTGATATTTTTAGAATAAAAAAATTATCGCATACATACGCTTTAGTAAAAAGTTAGAGCATTACTTGAATATATTTTTAAACTGTACTAGCCCTATATTTTATCACAAAGACTGAGGTAAAGATTAAAAAAAATCATAATATGGATTTTTTGCAACAGTTGACGACCCTGTATAATTTATATCGAGTGCACGTGCACAGATTGAGTGTCAAATTTTATATCTACAATATATCTACAAGAAAAATGTTCGTATTTTGGGTTGCCTAAAAACGATCTTTTTATTTTTTAAAGGATTGTTTATTTAATCCTGTAAGAAGTGTTTTTTTTTATTTTGTAATAATAAACCTTTTTTAATTGCTTAGTTCTAAAATGGTTCTAAAAGGTTCTAAATGTGCACAAGATTACAAGAAAAGCAGATTAATGTAGGTCAACAAAATTGATCGTTCTAAAACAGAAAATTCTGATCAAGGTTTTGTGTTTTGTGTGCGCATAAAGTCAACATAAAATTTCCAAATAAGTAAGTTTTAGATTTATTCATGAATTATTTGTCATATAGTGTTCAGTATGACTTGACAGTAATTTAAAAAACAAGTATTGAATAACAAAAAGAATTTTCAATATCCAAGGAATTCCATTTTATTTACTAACCCTGACCAGCCCTGACTAACCTAAAATGTCAGATGTTGAAGCGAGAAGGGAAGCTAGAAGACGAAAAATTTTGGAAAACTCCGACAAGAGACTAAAAAAAATTACTAGCGTTGAAAAGCGGAGTTCCGATTACGAACTCGAAGGTATGTAAATTTAGTTTTATCGTACTTCATTATTGAATATTAATTGTTCTATTTTGAAGGGTATAAGAGTTCAGTTTTTAATAGTAATGAGAACGTAACTAATGGCGATGTACACGTACACAATGGGGCCACAGGAAACATTATCACACCTGAGATAACAGAAGATCCCTCTAGTTCAAGTAGGTTGTTGCTAGAACCCTCTCAAGATCATTTAACTAAAACTCATCGTCTCACTATTATTATAGGTATAGCTACTGTACTAAATGTATTACTGATTTGTTTTTCAGAACTTAATATTTTATTAGATAAAATATTTTTGCCTTTGTTATGTTTCGAAGCTATCGATCTATTGTACAATAAAAATCAAACTAACACCAATGAAGGTGTAGTTAGTTTAATATTTTTGTTATTCAGAAATGCAATACCAAGACATTTGTTTATATTAAATAGGTATTTTGCATTAGTTGTTATTATTTTAAAAGATGTAATGGTGTATTTTTTTGCTTTTGTCTGTGTATCATTCCTTTTGAAGGTTTTATGTGGTGTATTATTTTATTAATAAATTTATTTTCTTTTTAGCACAGTTTTTTTATAATTACTACCTATAACACAAATTTAAATATACAATGTTTTTTAGAATGTAAAGATTTTTATAAAAACCAAATACACAAAAAAATATTTATTAAAAACAAAAAACTACAAATCCTGGCACAGTATATGTTAAAGTTAAAAAATAAAAATATTTATATTGTAAACTTATGAACTATTTTACACTTATGTGTCCTAAAATTTAAACAATTTCCGAAACTTGTTAATAACTCCATCTGAAACATCAGACTTTTCATTGACGTTCTGATCTGCCTCGCTTATCCGATTTTTACTTGAAACATCTTCAGATTTTATGTTAGAGGTTTTATCAATATTATTATTAGGTTTTACATCTTTATTTTCAAGAGGCTCCTCCACTGGTCTTATTTTTTCTTTATCTTGTGTTGAAGTTTCTTTTATTTTGTCAGTTTCTTCAGATAAACCAATAACATTATTTGGTATATAAGAATTTGTACATTGTTTAGTTGTTTCAAGTTGTTTTAAGACAGTGTCTTCACCCAATGAGGCTTCAATGGATGTTTTGAAGTGAAGACACTCGCGTCCCTATTTGCTTTTCTTCACTTTACGTGTTTTCTTCTTATGTAAAGCATTATCCTTTAGAGTTCTACGTCTGACAAGTTGTTTTTTCCCCTCTGAGATCATTTTCTCTTCCCAGGCAGCTAGCTCTTTTTCATACTGTTTTTTATGTTCGGCATATTGAACATTATATTTTTCTTTTTCGACTTCTGTCAAATTAGCCCATTCACCTTTCATCTTAATCAAAAGTTCACGTATTTGTTTGTTATCTCCCTTTGCATGTTCTATTACAAAGTAAAAGTAAGCAGGCGGAGGTTTCTTGGGCTTATCCTCCTTTCTTTGTTCCCTTTTAATTCGTCTTGCTTTACTAGCAGCTCGATCTTTACTGTTAATTTCTTTCAAAGCAGCCTGCTGTTCTTCTGTTAGATTATTCATATATTGTAATAACCGTTTTTCGTAATTTTCTTTATCCTTTCTAGCGAGTTCTTCGTATTTATGCTTTATTTCGGGATGAGCTTCGCGCCATTCCTCGGCTATCTGTTTAACGACCTCTGTTAGTTTTTTCTGAGGATTATTGGCTAATAATTTAGGTCGCCTCTCAGCCACGAATTGCATATAAGCTGTTAAAGATCGCTTCGGTCTTTCAGGTATTTCCAAAGTTTCTAGAGTCGCCTTAGGTCCTTGCTTAAGTCCGATATTACTGGGCAAGAATATTACATTGTTCGTACTGAAAATATGGTTTTAGATTATATAAATAATGATATCGTATGAATGAAAAATACTCACCGCTTTGTTAGACAAAGCCTGTTAAATTGGCCGACTAAAAAGAATGATTTTAAGAAGTTTGTCATTTTAACATGACAATTTCTATGATGATTGATCAATCAAAAATGATCAAAATGTAATTTTATTACGAATAAAGTTAAAAATTTAAAAAGATGGGAAAATTTTTAAGATTTAAGGTTATGCTCAATCTGAAAAGGGAACGGAAAAGCGATGGAAAAGCGTCGTCTTTTGTGTTCTGTGGTCGTCTTGTCAAGAAGTCAAGAGGAAACTTTTAATCTGTTCTGTGGAGGAAACCAGTTATCGGCTGAATTATAGGTTGCCTAAATATTCGATAAAAAGAGGAAAAAATACTGACCATTACAAAGTAATGAATAAAATAAAAGTATTATAATTTTATTGTTATAAAAAGTTCTATACTATATAGAAGAGGTTTAGTGATTAAATATTTTACCCAATATTAAAACTTGTAGATTAAAACTTATCAAACTGAAATCAATAAACCATTTGTATAGATATTATTTTATACTTGATTTATATTATTTAGTATGGTCAAAGGTATGGTTTTATTCTTTAATTTTAATTTTCTATAATTTATAAAATCTATCGGATTGACTGAGTGCATTTTATCACCATTTTATTAAATTATTAATGTAAAAAATAAAACCTTTGAATGAAGACTGATAATAAAAAGAATGATTTATCTTTTTTTGTCAAGTATTTTACATTGGAAACGATACAAAAAAATATTCAAGTTAAAAAACACGAGTTTTCAATACTTTTATACCTATGATTCTATTATGATTGTTAGATATCTATTTAAGAAAATTTAAAAATAAATTTACTTCTGGGCCCTGATTATGGAGTCCTGATCTGTAAGGGAAGGTTTCCAACCAATCATGGGCAATTATAACAAGGTGATTTTCCTACAGCCAATCAGCTCATACTCAAATGGCGCAGTTTTCAAAAATATCAATCACCCTATCATTAAAATTTTCACATTCTTCATTTCATTATCATTAAAGATATTTTAATACCTAGTTGTTAGTAATAGAAATATCTCTCAGGTGCGTAAATATTAGCGTATTGTTCTTTAAAATTTAAATAATCTATGTACAAGTTTGGTAGATATATTTAAATGTGGATAATAAAAATTAATACAATTCAATTTTATTTACTAGTTTTCAGTAAAATATGGAAAGATCTTAGCTAAAACACATGAATAATTAAGAATTTTACTGCGAGCTGTTGCTCAACTAGCCAATTTTTCCGTGTATACCTAGAAATATAGAAATAATTCAAGAAATTTTTGTATACCTACCGAACTGACTTAACCTAGATTGTTAATGTTTTCTCCGCTTATAAGTTCTCAGCTGCAAAATAGAAATTTAGTTTATGCCCAACGACATAATTATTATTAGGAATTATTTCAAATGCACTTATTTTTAGTCAGTATCAAAGGTTAGATGAAACGTTTTGGACTTTTAATTATTATGCATTAAAATATATTGCCTGAAATCAGATTGCGACAAACTTTACGTAAAACGTTTTTTTTGCAGTTTAACCGTAAGTAAATCAAAGGATGACACGAAGAGAAAGTTTATTAGTTTTAAATATTTCGATTCACTGTAAAATATGGTAATGTTATAGAAAAGTGTCGCCTATTTTTTATATTTAAATTATTTCAAATTGAAGAAGAGTGTCTTTCAAAATGAGTGGTTTAAAAACAGAAACTGGCGGTGGTCAAAGCATCCAGTTATCCCTAGTGGGTAAAAATTTACTTTGTGGTGGTAAGTCTAAGTAGTTATATTTCTACTTATTACAGCTCTTTCATATATTTGAATAAAATAACTACCTTTTAAGCTTAGAGCCTCAGACTTTTGTATTGTTTTAGGTATAGCTGGTATGGTATCAAAGACTACAGTTGCCCCTTTAGACCGAGTGAAAATTCTTTTGCAAGCACATAACCATCACCATGAAAATCATGGTGTTTTTAATGGTATAAAACATATTATTAAAAGAGAAGGGTACATTGCTCTCTATAAAGTAAGTGTTTATTTTATAAAGATTTATTATAGGTGCTTTATTACTTTCACCTTTCACGAATAACGTTAAACATTGAACTATTTAGGAATTTCGAAGGTGGAAAATTTTTCTTGCAATTACGCTGGAGATTTATCTTTAACGAACAAATATTTTTATAATTTTTGATAAGCTTTAAATATGATTTACATGCCCATACTTAATGATATAGTGTGATTTTAATAATTATCAAATTATTATTAATATAAACATTAAATAATAATGTCTTAAATATGGAACTAAATGTTTAATAAAGCATATATTCATTAATTTTTATTATCTTGAAGATAGTTTCTTTTATAACTAGTTTTAAATATTATTTTAGAGAACATTTAAAAATTCTGTACAAAATAAAGCAATATTTCTAATTGTCATTCATAAATTACAATAATTATTAATTATAGGGTAACGGAGCACAAATGGTTCGAATATTTCCTTATGCTGCAGCTCAATTTACATCATTCGAAATCTATAAGAAATATTTAGATGGTATATTTGGTCAGAAGTCCCATATCGATAAATTCCTTGCAGGAGCAGCTGCAGGTTTGACAGCAGTTCTATTGACATATCCTTTAGATACGGTTAGAGCGAGACTAGCTTTCCAAGTGAGTAATAATAATGTCTGTATTGTAAAGTGTATGCTTTTTAATTTAAATACAATTTATAAGCACTGATTACCATAGCTATGCAGAAGTGTTAGTAAGCGGCGGCTCCTTTGTAAATGCTCTGATCTTCTTTGACCTTGAAATGTCATTTTGACATTTTTTTCTTTTTTTTTGACAAAATTTGACTCGTTGAAATTTATATGTTTTACGGTTAAAGTCCGATATCCGGTTAATGTTTGGGTTTGGTTTTGATTTTGGTGGTTTTTGTTTGTGTTATTCTCGAGATTAACCGGGTAATGTCGACATTAACCAGGTATTGGACCTGAACCGAAATATATAGACTGAAAAAAAGTCTAGAATTTTTATGAAAGAATTTTTTAAATAGACTGAGGAAACTGATATCTTTATACGAGGTGTTTCAAAATACATGTGCCATCTCCCGTGGGGAGATTGCTCACGTAAAAATAAGATTTATTTTTCATATCAACATAGGTCCGATTCTGTTTGTTTCGTAGCTACAGGGTGTGTGTAAAGTCTTAATATTTTTTCGATTTATTATAATTTTCTTCCAAGTAATTTTAGCGTTTTGAATGAAATTTTGAGGGTAAAAGTTACTATAAATGAGAAATATTTTAAAGCTAAAAAAGTGTTGACATATTCACCAGGGACGTGCATATGTGTTATTATTGGAATATTTACAAAAAAATATGTACGCCACTGACTTTTTTCTCTTGTTAGCGAAATAGTGTAAGCAATTTAATGCCGATTAAAAGTTGTCTTTTGATTTTTTCTCGATTTCGGCCTTCTTGATGAAATAAACGTAATTTTTTATTAATTTGTCTTGATACAAATAAGTCTAATAGCAACCTTTAAAAGAAATTTAATATCATTAACTTCCAAAAGTTTTAAATAAGTAACATGGGTATTATGAAAACTTATCTAAAACTATAATGCACAGTTTTAGAGTTACAGGATGTTACAACTTTTTTAAATTTAGTTTCTTGTGATTATTTTAAATACCATTATTTTTTTATTTGAAATTGCTGTACGTTGGATTAATAGTAATAATAATAACTAATAGTAATATTATTTAATAAGAAATTTGGTAAAATACCGGGTACGTCTCAAAAGTGGCTCACCCCTATAACTTTTTTATTTTTTCAGATAAAATATCAAGATTTGGTATGTCAGTATATGGCATAAATTAGGATTGACTGACGTATTCAATTGTCTCTGGTCACTTCCTGTTTCACCAGAAATGACTACAACTTTTTATTTTTAAATGGCACTCCCAGTATTTTTTTACTTTATTCGATAGAAAATGGCATTCTGAATAGATGACATATCATATGTCAACTTTTGACATTCTCGCTTAATAAAAAATTGTATTTTAAAATTCAATCTAGAGTGCCACGGGTATGTTAAAAACACTAATTCTTAATCAAGGAGTCTTGGAAAAATAGATTTAATCGTCTAATGTTTTTGGTGTCTTGTCCTGGCCAGTTAGAAAATGTTCAAATCGTATTTTTAATCATATCTCAGTTTTTTCAAATGGAACGAGGGTGGCTCTTTAGTATATTTGAAAAAAGCATTTTTTTACGAATAATTTGATACCACACACTTGGTATTTCGAGTCAAATTTTTGTTCCGAACCGCAAGTTATAATTTCAAATAAACTATATGCGAAAATGTCAAAAGTTGACATATGATATGTCATTCTATTCAGAGTGTTATTTTCTATCGAATAAAGTAAAAAAATACCGAGGATACCATTTAAAAATCAAAAGTTGTAGTCATTTCCGGTTAAACAGGAAGTGACAGAAAACAACTGAATACATAAATCAATTCTAATTTATGTCATATACTAATATACCAAATTATAAAGGTGAGCCACTTTTGAGACGCACCCGGTATATAATTTATTAATTTTATATTTATTTTATTAATTGTGATTAATAAAATAGCGTTTATCTCATCAAGGAGGCTGAATTTGACAAAATATCAAGAGATAACTTTTAATTGACATTAAACGGCCTACACAATTTTGATATCAAAAGAAAAAAGTCAGTGGCGCACATGCTTTTTTTGAAAAATATTTCAGTGATAACCCGTATGCACGTCCCTGATGAGTTTATCGACACTTTTTTAGCAGTACAATATGTAGAACTTGTAGTAACTTTTACCCTCAAAATTTCATTCAAATCACTAAAGGTACTTGGAAGAAAATTATAATAAGTCTAAGTTAATAAGTCTTTAATACCCTGTAGCTACAAAATAAAGCAGAATCGGACCTAAGTTGATATGAAAAATAAATCTTCTTTTTACGTGAGAAATCTCCCCACAAGAGATGGCACATGTTTTTTTAAACACCCTGTATAACTTATTTTCTCATGAAGTTTTCCTGGCTAGTTTCTGGCTGTTATTTTCTTGTTTTGCTTATAGACATGATTTTTATACTATTTTTAAAATTGGTTTTATTATATTCATATTAATTTTCATAAATAACAATATAATATAAATATACAGGGTGAGTCTTAAATAAGTGCAAATATTTTCAGGGGTGGTATATTTCGACCCCAGGAACACGTCTACGAGTTTTTTTTCGCCAAAAAATATGTTGAAAATTTTGTGCATTTTCTTTTAAATTTACCTGTATATTTTTCGAAAACTTTTTAGAACTGCCTGTTCACCGCAAATTTTCTCACGGTATAATTTCTTAATCTCTGATCATAACCAACATGAGATACAGGCCAGAGACATCGATTTGTGACGTCACCGCAATAGTCGGGCTTTTGAATTGTGCCATATGGTACTGCATATAGTTTTTGCATAAATAATAGTATTTATTGATAGTTTTGCCAGATATAAATATGAAAAATATTATACACAAAGGTATTAAAAAATAGCATTAACTTTTTATCGCGTTAAAGTATTTGAATAGCATTAAAATTTAGATCTAAAACATGAATATTAATATGAAATAAACAACAGCATAAGATGAATAGAATAAAATCCAGATAATAAAAAGCATGTCCTAAAATTGCGTTAGCGAGTATTTAGCAGCTAGTAATAATATTCCCTAGTAATAATATTTCCAGCTAGTAATAAAGTTTCCAAATATTAAAAAATTTGAAAACTTTACTTTATCGACAAGTTAAGAAAATGTATTGTATATGATAAGGGCAGAATACATTTTAAAGTTTAATTAAAAATAATTGTAAAAATTTGCCTAACATATTTAAAAAATGTGGATATCAGGTAGAATTGACTATTATCATTAAGTAATTTGTAGTTCGATGTCCAAGTAACCATTTCCATAAATCGTAAATAAAAAGATAAAGATATTTTTTTTATATAAAATACTGAAATAAAGTACAATTCATTTAATTTCTTTAAAATATATTGCCATTTCATAATAATAATAATAATTTTCAATATTTATTTCATCCTGAATTTCCAAATCTTGTTTCCTTTCATCGGGATGTTTTCTCTTTATGGGAACATGCACAGTCATATAAGAGGGTTGATTTGGAATCCCTAGAGGATTGCTATAAGAGGGTTGATTTGGCTGCATCAAGTATTTACCGGATTGGACCACTAGACCGTAGGCACAGCATCTGCTGTAGGTTTTGGACGTGACTTAGTTACAGTTAATATTGTTGGGAAAGAGAATGTAGACAGATCCTGAGTACTTATTATAATTGCTGCTACAAGGCACAGGCACAGAACAATGTCGCGGCATTTTTTATTTCACAAACTAAAAATAAAGAAACGACAACTGGTTTTACCTAAAAATACACGTCACTTACGTTGGTTTAACACTATACACTAACATTAACGCTATTAATTATGTTTTTATATAAATTCCCCAACTTTTTCCTAGCCCGGACACACAGCCGGCATCGCCGGTGTTACTATGATTTTTACCGAAAGTATGGTTTTTTTTCGCAGGTACGATGTTATGAATCAGATCTAGATAGTTCACTATTCACTCAAAATTATTTAGTATAATTTTATTAGCATAGAAACGCGTAAAAAAACACAGATTTGTTGCGAAACTAATGAAAACAATTGGTTTGTTTACGACTACTAATTCTCGACCACTTCGGTAGAACTGTCAAAACAGTCAGGCCTTGAATATGACGTTAGCCACGCTCTGATATTACCATAGTTACGACTTTACTCTATGGTTACGGCACTAAAAGGGATGCAATTACAGAAAAAATCCGGTGGCTCTCAACATTTTTTCAAAAAAAAATCATTTTTTACTTAGTTATTTTGGACTTATCTGAAAAATGGTAAAGAGAAAATATGTTTCTTTTATCGAGATCTACCAGCCCTGAAAATATTTGCACTTATTTAAGACTCACCCTGTATAATAAAAATGTTAACTTTTACAGATAAGTGGTGAGCATGTATATACAGGAATCTTGCATACTGCAGTGTCCATATTCAAAGATGAAGGCGGCGTTCGTGCCCTCTATAGGGGCTTTACACCAACTCTGATGGGTATGGTACCTTATGCCGGGTTGTCGTTTTATTGCTTTGAGTACCTGAAGTTTGGCTGCATCAAGTATTTACCGGATTGGACCACTAGACCGTGCCCCAAAAACACAGGTATGTTAAGTTAATATACAGGGTGAGTTTCCTACGATGTTCTCTATGGGTGTCTCGGAAACTACTGGAGATAGAGAGTCGGTTAAATGGAGAAAGAATTGCAGTTTTGTGGGGCCATAAATATGCGTCTTTCAGATTTTTGAAAGAGTTCATGGCTTACTAGATATTTCGAAAAAAAACAAATTTCGACTATTTTAAAAATTGTCCCTAATTCCATTATAATCTATTTTAGACAAAAAGTTTTCGGATAAAAGTTGTAGATAATCAAATCCTTAATGAGATTGTGTCCTCCGTTTTTTTTCTAAAGCCTGTCATTTTTGACATATAACACAAACATATGTTTTATTTTAAATGGAAACCATACTTGACCATAACTTCATAAAAAGCGCAATTTTTTAAGCTTTTCAGCGATACAAGCTATAATATGTTTTTTTTTTCGAAAAAATTACTGTGTTATAGCCAATTAATTAATATCTTTCTTGACTAATTTCACTTAGGTGGTATGGTATTCTTATTCTGTTATGATTTATGGGCAACGGCCCAGCTACGTCAAAACACCGGTTCCCATTAGAACACCGAAGTTAAGCGACGTAAGGCGATACTAGTGGATGGACGGGTGACCGGTTCGAAACTCTGTATCGTGCTGTTGTCCAAAAAAGGCAAAAGTGAAAAATCTATTGACACACACTACTCAATCATGCCGGTTCGAGGCCGGATGAGATCGGATATCTCGTGAGTAAGAGTCGATTTAGACACTTGCTAAGTTCTCTTAGGTTAGGTTCGGATTCCGCGTAAACAAAGTAGGTCCCGTCCAGATTAGCAAAAAGGCGACGTTAACTGAAATCTTTACTTTACTTTTGTTATGATTTATAACATAAAAAGACTATTAAGAATTATAAGAATTAATAAGAATATTTTATTAAGCGGTTCTTTACAATTTCCATTGCACAAACTGAAACTAAAAAAAATAATATCACTAAATACAGTTTAAGTAATTTTTTTTCGCAGTATATAAGCTGAACTAGAAAGATGTGTCAGGATTTGAAAAAACTTGACAAATATTAGTTTATCTAATTACAGCATATAGATATCTACGTCGGTTATTAAATAGATGTTATGATTAGTATTTGCTAATTGTATTGGATAATTATTTTGATGTTTTAATTTGATTTTTTTGTGGATTTTTTTATATTATAGACAAGGCTAGATTTATGGCTTGGATAATATTAACTAGTTTTTTTATAAATGGTCACTCATAATACTGATAAAAATAACTTTCACAGGTAATATACAGTGTGTCAATTTTAAAACTTCCCACCTTTAATATCTTTCTTGCAGTTAAAAATATGAAAAATTGGAAAGACACGTCAATTTTATTTGTAAGGGGGACACTTTAAATGAATATTTTTAGCCTTTTTCTTTCAACCCCCTAGGAGGGGTAGATGTCATCTTTACAATCTTAAATGGGAATGGGGGTCAAGTGGCACATCGTTTTAAAGGACGTTTAATTCTCTTTTCTGTGGTATCCTACTTTATTGCTTTTTATCTAGAGGTTTCTGAATAATCGCGTTTCAAAGTTGCAGAAACAATTAAACGTGCCTGCATTAAGATTTTGGTTTTCAGGTTAGTGTTTACACAAAAGTTATTGCAATGGATCTCCTTGTAGTACAAATAATCAGAAGATTAGGTCACACCACTTACGCCCTATCTTACAAGTTGTTCAAAATGTTGTACATTTTGCTGTAAACAGTAATAAAGTCTGTTTTCAAACATCTCCCTAACATTTCGGAAAACTTCACCGGGATTTGACTGGCATTCTGCTGTAATTTAAGATCATCAATATCAGTAGATTGTGTTTTATAAAAAATGGATTTAAGATGTCCCCCCAAAAAACAAAAGTCTAAGTGATCTTGACAGCCATTCAATTGGTCTCCTTCTGCCAATCCATGGACCCGGAAATCTCTCGTTTAACCACTGTCGGACTGCAAAAAAATAATGAGCTATAGCACCGTCCTGCTGGAATGTTAACAAATCCTCCTGTGAAACTGATTAGAGGTTGCCACTCATTCGAATTTGAGAAAGGAAACATTAATGTTTATGATGTTTTTTGTTTATTAGTATTTCGAATTTTGACCCCCAAGAAAAATGTAATGGCTACGTCCTTGTTACCCCTAATCTTCTAGTCATTTGTACTACAAGGAGATCTACTGCAATTATTTTTGCATAAACACTAGCCTGAAAATCAAAATCTCAATGCAAGCATGTTTTATTGTTTCTGCAACTTTGAAACGCGATTATTCGGAAATAACTGGACAAAAAGCAACAAAGTAGGATACCACTGAAAAGAGAATTAAATGCCCTTTAAAACGATGTGCCACTTGACCCCCATTCCCATTTAAGATTGCAAGGGTGACATCTACCCCTCCTAAGGGTTTGAAAGACAAAGGCCAAAAATAGTCATTTAAAGTGTCCCCCTTACTAATAAAATTGACGTGTTTTTTCGATTTTTCATATTTTTAACTGCAAGAAAGATATTAAGGGTGGGAAGTTTTAAAATTGACACACTGTATATGTTGGAGGCAGATGCCGAAAATTAGACATATGGCGATTATAATTAAATATACCTACCTATATCCACAAAGTTACGCGGAAGAGTTTTGATTGAATTGGTTTCAACTTCTATGCGGAGGGTTTGGTTGCGAAAAGATGAACCCCCTGGCAAGTTTAGTATGGACAAATCGTCATACGTCTAATTATTTTGGACATTGGCCGAAATTCGGTATCTGCCTCCAACATATACATGTAAATGCAAATTTACGTTTTAGCCCAACTCTACGGTCTACCTACAGAGCTGCAACAAGTCAGTTTTAAAAAGACTTACGTCTTAAGTCATTTCTAAAATCAAAATAATTTAAATCTTAAGTTAAATTCAACATAAAGTTCAAATGATTTACGTCTTAAGTCTTTCACTTAAATCATTTTATTTCAAGTCAAATAATTTTTGTAAAGACTGAAATCCAGGGTTGGCTTGATTTAAATCAAATGATTTAAATCATGATTTAAATCTTGATTTAAATCAAGTGATTTTTTTAATTTCAAATGTTAATAAAATTGCCGAAAAAATGCTAACGCGTAAAGGAGAGCGTAAATAGGACGTTGTTGGGTGCAATAACATTCAATAACTCAACTTTCCCGGATATTCAACTCTCCCGAAACAACATTTTATAGCTTCATAATTTCTTACATCGATTTGATCAATATCAAAAATGGATTCAAGCAGTTCGATAAACCAAGTGAGTAAACAAACTGCTCGTTACATAATCAAAAAATTAAATAGACATATACTATGAGAGGATGAAATATAATTTGCAATATTAATGGTATATTTTTTTAATCAACTAGTGATTAAATGTTTTATGAACATCTTCTAAAATTATAATTATGTACCTTTAAAAAATTTCGTTATAGCCGAAATAGCTCCAATTATGCCGCCTCTAGCAAAACCGGTGATAAAACTATGCTCGCTACCGTGGTTGAACTCTCTAATTTTGAGTTCTCTCTAATTTTTTTTAACTGGAATAATAAGTTATAATGCAAGTTAGACCTTTGGAAGATATCAAAATATTTACCTTTAATTTTTTTTTATTTTAGAACTTCCACAAATTACACTTTCTAACACTTTTAGAATAATTATATACTAATTTTTTCGTTTACTCGCCATTTAAACCCGTGTATTTGTATGTGTTCGTTATTTGCGAGTTCTCCGGCGGGGGTAGCACCGGCGGAGAATGCACCAAGCCTATACTAGGTGTGTGAAAAAGAAATGCTGCTGTTAAAAATGTATCATAAAAATATATAAAAATCGTAATAATTTAAAAAACATGCCTAAAAATTCTCCAATATCATTAAATATATGTTTTCCTCCAGGTGGCATAGTGTTAACCATTCCCGCCAAACTAATATGCGGCGGCTTAGCCGGCGCAGTAGCCCAAAGCTTCAGCTACCCCCTGGACGTGACAAGGAGACGGATGCAGCTTGCCATGATGAAACCGGAAACGCACCATCTGGGCGAGGACATGTTCAAGACGCTCAAGCACATCTACAGCGATCACGGCATCATCAAAGGCCTGTTCAGAGGCATGTCAATTAACTATATGAGAGCTATACCAATGGTGGCAGTGTCTTTCTCCACCTACGAACTGAGCAAACAATTGTTGGGATTGGACACTGGTTTGGTGGTATAATGAAACGAAATAGACACACAATGAGGTATGGTTGGAGAGATTTCGAGAATCATACATAGTCTAATTAATTCAAGTACCGAGTCTGGATCTAGCGATTTTGGTCGAAATTCGTTTATCCAGTTTTAGTTAGATTTTAACTACTCTGTTATGTGTCAGTGAATATTATTACATTCCTTATGTTTTTGTATAAATATATCTAATAAAAATCTAGATCTGATTTCGAATTGGCCCCTGTCTTGATTTTATCGTTTTTTCTTTTTTACTCATTGAATTTTCTTAAACTAATAAATATAAATACAAATTATCATTAAAGCTGACAACACTGAAGAATATCGACAACCCATTGACTAAAAAAAACACTAGGAATTTTATGTGAGTCAGTGAGACAAGCTGATGAAGATAAGTTGGTACTGTTTTAAACCAAATATTATAATGTAACAGCTTTAATTCCTGAAAAATATTGTACAGGGTGGGTCAAATTGGACGCTTTTAAAGGGAAAATAAAGTCTCATATATTATCTTTTATTAAAGTCTCATATAAAAAATCAAATTTTTTGTTGATAATTCCTAAATTATTAATTAAAAAAAAATAGTTAAACCATTAAATTCTACTTAAAAAAGTGCTTCGGAAATGTTTTCATAAAAATACAAAATTTTCCATAGCAAAAAAGTTACAGCGATTTGTTTAAAATGGACAATTTTGAAAAACACCCCGTATCTCCGAAACGGTCACAAATATCGATGTGCGGTTTTGACCATCCTGTTTTTGATAAAAATTAAGCTCCGGACACCTATATTAATTTTCGTCTCCTATAGAAAAGGTGTTTACCTTTAAAAGCGTCCAATTTGACCCACCCTGTACAGGGTATTTCAAAAAACACGTGCCATCTCTCGTGGGGAGATTCCGAAAGTAAAAATAAGATTTATTTTTCATATCAACATAGGTCCGATTCTGCTTTGTTTCGTAGCTACAGGGTGTTCAAATCTTAATATTTTTTCGATTTATTCTAATTTACATCCAAGTACTTAGCGTTTCGAATGAAATTTTGAAGGTAAAAGTTACTATAAATGCGACATATCATAAGTTAAAAACGTGTCGACATATTCACCAGAGAAGTGCATATGGGTTATCACTGGAATATTTTTCTATATTCCAGTAACTAACTAACTTTTACCCCCAAAATTTCATTCAAATCACTAAAAGTACTTGGAAGAAAATTATAATAAATCAGAAGATTATTAAGACTTTAACACTCTGTAGCTACGAAACAAAGGAGAATCAGACATATGTTGATATGAAAAATATATCTTATTTTTACTTGAGGAATCTCCCCACGAGAGATGGCACATGTTTTTTGAAACAATGTGTATATCCTTCAGTAGTTTATTGTGCAAGTCTGATATCGGAGTTTTATTCAATATCACGTAAATTATCTTAAACGTTCAAACAAATGTTAAAGAAACATTGATTAATAGATGTTAAAACCTTTTAAAAAAATTATCTCATTTCTACAAGCTTGGATATCCAAAATATGTGGTCTCTATTTTAACGTGTAAGATATTGATGAAATATCCCAATACGAAAAAATCAAACATGCTAAAAAGAGACTAAAAGCAGACTGTTATTCTTCTATGTGGTTTTGCCGGATTTTCTACCAAGAATTCCAAACAGTCCATGTAGGAATTTTGAATAGAATTGTTAATCTAATATACAGGGTTGTTCACCACATACGACACGGCGTATTGTAGCTAAACGATTAGATTTTTACAAATTGTAAGTTTTGGGTTCGTTAAAGGTCTATTAGGGCCACAATTTAAAAATATTTTTACAAGATACAGAGTGTCCCAAATAAATAAAAAATATCAAAGTTGTATTTTTTTAAATGGAACACCCTGTATATTATTACATTTTTAGTTTCTACGATTAAAATAAAGGTAAATTTGATTAAGGTTTATTACACTTAAACCTTACCGTTGTTGAAATATTTTCAATTTTGTGAAATTGCAGTATAAATTTTAAGGCTTCATTTCTCCGAGGGTATCAAACTTTTTAATACTAAATATTTACTGAAGTTTATTAATTGATCAGTTATTGTGTTGCAATAATAAAAATTATACTACCTTATACAGAGTGTCTAAAAATTTATTTTAAATAATTACTAGCTTTAAACGGCAATAACTTGTTTAATTTAAAAGGAACACCCTGTATATTTTATGAGAATCACATGCACAATTTAATTGTCTATCAAATTGTGTTATACCACTTTTTACCTATCCCTTCAATTTTTCGTAGAAAATGCATTTTCTTATAATTTAGACCTCATTTATCAATATACCCATGGAATATTGACATTTTAGATTGTTTTTAAAAAACAACAAATGTACAAAATGTACAGGCTAGTAATATTATCGCTTTTAGTAAAATGATAATATTACTAGCCCATTTGTATGCAAAAGGAAAACTATTTAAATCTTTATAAAAGAGTATACCATTAATTAAATATACCACCAGTATTTCCGCCCAAATACTAATTAATTACATACTTAATTTGTGTTAGTGTTCATTAATAAATTATTCTAAATAAATGTGGATTTGAATCAGAAATCAATATAATAATAAGTTATGAAAATGAACGTCTCTGTTGTTATAAATAAGCATTTGTCAAAAAATTAAATATCATTTTTAAGGTGTTAGTTTTTTTACCACACTGTCTAATACACATACATAATTCAGTTTTTTAGTATTTGGAGCAATTATTATTAATCAACGCAAACAGTCAATTAATGTAGTTTGAATACTGGAATCATAGTAATTTTTCCTCTTTAACAAATATTTAAACAGTTTTTTTTTACTTAATAAAATAAACGAACTATATCGACAATATTAGTATTTGTACTCTTTAAAAATTTGGTATATCTATAAAAATAATCTAAAATGTCAGTATTCCATGGGTATATTGATAAATGAGTTCTAAATTACAAGAAAATGCATTTTCTACGGAAACTTGAAGAGATAGGTAAAAAATGGTATAATACAATTTGATAGACAATTAAATTGTGCATCTGATTCTCAAAAAATATACAGGGTGTTCGATTTAAATTAAACAAGTTATTGCCGTTTAAAGCTAATAATTATTTAAAATAAATATTTAGACACTCTGTATAAGGTAGTAAAATTTTTATTATTGCAACACACTAACTGCTCAATAAATAAACTTCAGTAAATATTTAGTATTAAAAACTTTGATATCCTCGGAGAAATGAAGCCTTAAAATTTATACTGCAATTTCACAAAATTGAAAATATTTCAAAAACGGTAAGGTTTAAGTGTGATAAACCTTACAGTTGAGGGTTGGAACCTTTGGTGTTAAACAGCAAAATAAAAACACTAAATCACCACAATACACCAAAACAATTTTACTTTTACACTGGACGCGCGTTTCGCTAACCATGTTAGCATCATCAGCAGATGATTATAAACTAACCTTAATCAAATTTACCTTTATTTTAATTGTAGAATGTAAAAATAGAATAATATACAGGGTGCTCCATTTAAAAAAATAAAACTAATATTTTTTATTTATTTTGGACACTCTGTATCTTGTAAAAAATATTTTAAATTGTAGCTCTAATACTCCTTCAACGAACCCAAAACTTAAAATTTGTAAAAATCTAATCGTTTAGCTGCAATACTCCGTGTCGTATGTGGTGAACAACCCTGTATAACCTCACATAATATTTAAAGTCATATTAGTATACCCACTTTATTTAATTTCATTCCTACTTGTCTAACCATGCCTACTGTACGCAAAAACCGGCAACCCTGCAGTTCTTTCTCTCTGTTAATTGTCGTTTGATTATAAGTCAACTATATCTTTAACTTTGTCTAACACGTTAAAAAATACAGCCTGTATACCATTCTGTATACCGAATGTATTTTACAAGTTCCTTATTCAGGGGTCAATTATAAGAAAGGGCTCAAACAGTTAATCTATTTTTTATGATTTATTAGAGAAAAAATCAAAATTAATTTTTAAAGAAAAAATCTTGCGATCAGAGTTATATTTGGCAGTTATAGGTGTAAGTTTTTAGTATAATCATGCATCACAAATATATTAAGTACTTATGGCGATATAAATAAATATAATTTCAATATATTAAAGTTGTTGACCTAAAGTTGTAATTTTATTGTTTTAATGTAAACTGATTAGTTAATGTGTAATTGACAAAAGTAGAAATATAATTTTTTTTCATACAATAGCTTTACTCCAAAAGATATAAGTAAAATATTTTTTACCAGTTTTTCTAATGAGAAAAGTGTATATGTATAATCTTTTCAGTCAGATTCTATATGGCTTGAGTGAGAAATGTCTGTAGATTATTTACTCCATCATTTGGTGTGAATATCGTTTGTCAAAACATATTCTCCCTCTTGGATATTAACAATTAATGCAAATATTTATTTTGAATTAAATTATTAAAATTAGTACATAAAAATTAAATTTCCTAAATCTATAATTATTAATATACCTATATAAATATGTACTAAACTGATTCATTTCTCCTAATTTAAACCGCCTTTATATTCAAAATTATAGTTCAATAAGCGTTTCGTCTTCTAGAATCTTAGGACAATTACTCGTCTATGTCTGGATTATGCTCTTCGGTCGTTCGAGAAAATTTACCGAACGCAGTCAAGATGCGGCGTTGCCAAACTCACGAAATATTCGCCAATTTAAGGAATTTTGTAAGAATCTTGTCAGTCTCTTTTACCCACAGATTTTTTCCTGCTTGTCTTAATTTTTGAAATTGTTATAAAAACATTATTCTTACTACTTTTGTCCTATACTGCATATTTCTGTGAATGTTTTATTGAAGATTGTAGATCTTGTATATACTTTTCTAGAGTTATTTGTACAAATTACTCTATTAGTTAAAAAAACAGAATTACTATGTTTTCTGATACAAAGAATTCTCAATTTAATGATAATTTTTTTGAGGCTTAGTTTAAAAAAAATGTTAATTTATGTTCCATTTTTTATATAAAAATTATGAAATTTTGTATAGAAATTTATTATACAAATTATTCTGTTGTATTATTGTATTGTATCTCTAGATATATATTTTATCATGACACTGTTAAACCAAATTTTCTTATATATTTTAATATAGGTAATTCAAAATGAGTCACGTACTTAATGGATAGTTGGATATTATTTTTGTATATTTGTTTAATTACAATGTTATTGTTACCATTATTTCAAGTGAATTTTATGAAATAATAAAAAATATATAGTTTTTTGAATCACAGATGTTTTTTATTTTCCTTTTCTTCAAAAAAAACTATTTTAAAAATATTTGCGGGCAATATCAACTTTTAAATATAATTAAATGGAATGCTGTATTTTTTTGCTCAGTGGATTTACCATAAAAC